AACAAGAACACCACACAAAAGATTTGTCTAATACAACAGGGACGTGGCCTAAATCTTTAAGTGACATTAAAAGGTGTGGTTGGGGTTTTAGTAGCAACACGAATGGTATTTTACAGTGGGGGGGGGAAGATGTCAGATGTCAGATAAAAGGATCTGGAGGGGTTGGATGAAGCAGAGAGGGCTTCCTGTTGCTGCTTCTACCATCTACCATGTTTGACTACAGAGACACCTTCATCCCTCATGATTCTCAAACCTCACCGTCGTGTCTTCATCTCCATCTTGCTTCTTCTCTCTCCCCCCCTCTACCCCTCCCACCCTCTCTCTCTGTGACTCCTCAGCAGGAGACCTCCATGGTGTGGGTGACGGGGCCCACCCCCTCGGTGCTGTCGGAGTGGGTGCAGGCGCGGGGGCGGGACCCGTCGATCGAGCTGGCGCTGGTCAGGGAGGTTGTCCTGGAGCGGGCCAGGCGGGTCATACTGGCCGAGGGCACTGGGGGAGAGAAAATAATTCAGCATTGCATTGTGGGGGAAAAGGTGTTATTAGTTGATACTTTGAGATGCTGGGAGAACATGCTAATGTGAAGAATATCCCTTTGAGTAGCTGGTGACAAACGGCTGATGGATGAAGCTGTCAGTGACAGCACCATGCACTCTGTTACTGTTGGGAATTTATTATACAATGAATTAGGCCACGTTTACACGGCTACGATAACGAAAACGAACCTTAGTTGATATCAAAAAAGTATTCCGTCCACTCGGTATCGGCTCAAGAAACGTGTCCGTCCACACAAGACTGCTCGACCCGCTGGAGACGCTGTAGTACATATACCGGGCCTGTAAGTGGCGCTGTACTTCTGCCACAAAATACACCAAAAGCAGCGAAGAAGACTCCCGAGCATGGTTGCCATGGTTGGCCTTCTGTTTATTCTCCGTGGTGGATTTAGCAACATGTAGTTCATGTAGTTCTCCATGTCCACTTGTTGCTGATGGTTGTGGTAGAGTAGCTGTAGATGTTGCACTAACAACATGGTCAGTAGCAGACAGTAGCTACTGACCATGCTACAGCAGTGAGCGGCAGAGGTTGTTGGCGAAAACGCATCATCAATGACGCGGGGGTGAGCAGGAGAGGTGTGGAGTGGCGGGGCTACGGCCCCCAGAGCATTTAGTCCGCAGATCTATCCACCTTGAGACCCGTTACCGTTTGAGGGCTCCGTTTCCGCGGTTCCGTTATGGCCTCGTGTGAACGAACCGTCAATACGATAGAGAACTGTAGCGGAAACAACCTGTTGCGTCTCCGTGTAAACGTGGTCTTACACTCATTTATAGAACTAGAACTAGTGATGGAAAGTAACTACATTAACATTAACATATTAGTACATTAACCCAGGTACTATACTTAAGTTCAGTTTTGTAGGTACTTATGCTTTACTATTTTTTTCATTTTATGCAAGTTCCTAATAGTAATCCAACACAATTTGAAATAAAATAAATGTTTCATCTCTTTGTTTATTTGACAAGATTAATTACTAGTTTCTTTGCAGGTTCATATTATAAATACAAACATTAAATGAAATGAACTATGATGGAATATTGTAATGGATTAAGATACCTGGAGGTATACAAAAAATGTTATTTAAGTTATCTCCACCATTACCAGCTTCACAATTAAAATAGTTTTCCTTGAATTGATCATTAATTTGAATCCTGTGATATTATATGTATTTTTTCCATTCTTTATCTCAATGGTCTGTTAACACCGGACATGAAGCAAAGATTCGCACTACTTAACACGTCAACAATGATGCAGAAATAACTACATATATACCAATAAGTAAAAACCATGAATGAATGCTTTGGCAAGTGTGAACGTGAACAGCAGAACATTTTTTTTTAAATGTCTGTTTTCTGAATGGAGATTGGATCAATCCGTCTAGGCTACCATTGTAGCTGCTGCGTCCACACTCACAACGTCATACAGACAGAAATATAATTGAAATCATTTGCAGTGCCACAGACAGTCTGTGGTTTGTATACATATAATTTTTCTCCAGTTTATATTCAGATATAAGGAACTGTAAGCTCTGTATGTCGTTGCCCGCAGCCAGTGGCTGATATTTTGTTTTCTGATTCAGTCAGTGCCAACAGGTGGAGATTCTCCATGGGACCGCGCTACACCAAATTCTCGCGTATGAAGCTAGCTTCAGTCGCGCTGCGTCATTCGCGCCGCCAAGCATCAATTTGCTTTTATCTCCGGCCTTTGCATTGGCTTTACATTTAATTTGAGTCATTCGCTCTGCGTCCGGTCTGAACGCACCATTAGAAATACACTTAGAGTGTTTCATACTGTATGCTGTTTTGAGTGCATTAGGGACAGCAGTTTAGCGAGTAATCTGCATAACCCTGAGGGCAAAATATATTTTTAAATATTGTTCAGTCAGCAGTTTTATTACAGAACTAGATTTAGTTTTCAGATGTCTTTAAAACCTCAACTTGTCTGATATTTTGTTGCTAGTAACTTAAAGACATGATCATTAGTTACAAACTCAGACCAAAAGGCTGTGCTCGAAGCTGAAGGCCATGCAAAGAACAGCATTGGAGATGCAGTAGCAAAGGAATGGGGGAGGGGGATGTCAGGGGATTCTATTTTTCCATTGTTGGAAAAAATATTTTTGATAAAACAATGATGGGGTTTAACGTCCTTGAGATTAAAAAATATATATTAGTAATGCCAGCAGGATTTCATAACAGCCCAAAAATATTGTAGTCATAACCAATGTAAATCAAAATAAATGTTCAAGATGCCAAAGTCAATAAGAGGGCAGCAATAAGAGGTCAGACATGAGGGGGGGGGAGTACCTGGCCCTCCACTCAACCTCCGATCCTTCACATAAGCGACTGAGAGAATGGGGCAGGAAGACAGAGGGAAGATTAACACAGCTCATGACCCTCAAACACATCACACACACTCACACACACTCACACACACAAGCAGGCTTGGGAGGGTGACTTCAAAAATGTAATCCGTTAATATAACTAGCTACATCTCAAAAAATGTAATCAGTAACCTAATCAGAGTATCAAAATATATAAGGAATGTTACCTGATTACTTTTGTTACTTTTGGATTACCTCAATATTTAATGCAAATAAAAACAAGAACAAATAAATTACATAAAGTGTATGTAGAAAATGTGTTAAAACCAAGATATTTCATTAAAAGAAAATGTATTTAAAATAAAGAACAATTAAAGTAGCCTAAATGTAAACCATGAATAAAATGTGTTCAGTATGACTACCTATTATATATTGATCTTTATTCCAAAATGTAAATTGTGTAATGTCTACTTTTATCTTTAATATTTTATGCACGCTTCTTAATTCATTTCCTGTCTTTGGCTCTTCACTTTTGCTTTAACAATGTACATTTCCCCTCTGTGGGACGAATACAGGTAGCCAGATTCTTCTAAATGTTAAAGTTATCTGATTACTTCTTTTTTTTAAATGTAATTGTAATCGAATACGTATCCGTTATACCTCCCAAGCATGCACACATGACAACATTAATATTTTCTGCTGAAATTGCTTTTTATGAGAATTTTTTTCTAGGGCAAATATTGATTTAAAATCACTCTGTCACTCGCTAACATCAGTGTCTCATTGTGGATACTCACTGTAGCCCATTCCCTGCAGGAAGTATTTGAAGGCTTCAGTCAGCTTCCCAGGCTGGAAAACAACACATTTCATTTCACTGAATATGGACATAAACATGTCAAATATGGATGATGCATTCATGCTCTTTCTCAATTTAATTTGATTTTATGGCAGCCTGTAAAATATGCAGGGCTATGTGTGTGTGTGTGTGTGTGTGTGTGTGTGTGTGTGTGTGTGTGTGTGTGTGTGTGTGTGCGTGCGTGCGTGCGTGTGTTACCTGTGTGAGCTGGGGAAGTCCTCCAGAGTCAGCCATCTACAAGAGAGGAGAGAGCGCAGCATGAAGCTAACCGCTAATAGCTCAAAACTAGACTAAAATGAACACATGTTTTCTCTGCTTGCCTCTTAACTAAAGAACATTATCTCGTGTTAATACTTAACTCATTACATTTTTTGTAAATCTTTGAAGTTTTATCAAAGTATGAATAGCATAATTGTCATTGTTTTGTAGGCAAACAGGCGTTTTTTGGACAAAACCAAGTGGAATTTAGATTTTTGCTAAGATTTTTGGTATTTACTGACATACAGCATTTTAAGCCACTACACACACTTTTAAAATCTCTTTAACCTGTGTATTCATACATTTTTTCAGGCATGTTTTCTAGACAAGGAAAGGGCTAGATGCTAACTAATTTCAGAGTCCGTTTAATGAGTTAATCGAGTTTATTGTCTCTTAAATAAGGGAAAGGCCACTGTATGAGCTTGTTGCAGAAGTACACCTGGTGCTTTCATTGGACATCTTATTTGATCAGCACTATGGTCAAAGTGCTGTGTGACAAAATAGTTTCTTTCTATAAGAATAGTTAGCATAAAACTAATTATAGAACAATATACACCAAACCATACCATTAACATGTCAGCGTAAAATGTTACCATTTTAAAATTCAGCACTTATATAGCATCATATTGTGTAAATCAGGAATATTTGTGTGTGGTTACCAATTGTAAAATAGTTTAAAAGACATTTTTCTGTTTTATTTTATTTATTTATTTTCTGTCTTAATTCCGGCATATACAGGACTGTCTCAGAAAATTAGAATATTGTGATAAAGTTCTTTATTTTCTGTAATGCAATTAAAAAAACAAAAATGTCATACATTCTGGATTCATTACAAATCAACTGAAATATTGCAAGCCTTTTATTTATTTTAATATTGCT